CACTGGTTATTAAATAAGTTTAAAACAACTTATGAAACATAAAGGAGGCATGAGAAAGAGCCAAACATTCTCCTTCATTAATTGGTCTATGCTTTTTCTACAATCACAATCTGTGGCATTTACTGTGCATCGAGTTCACAAATTAAAATCAGATTTTAAAATGGCTTCACCGTTAAATCATATTCCAGCTTTTAAAAGATGTACTCTATTTCAACAGTAGGTAATATGTACAAATAACTGTTGTCCTGTTGCTTCCCCTAGAGAGATAACCTAATAACCAAATGATTATGGCTCTTGGTTGTTAGATGTAATAGTTTACTAGTAAACTGTAACTTGTTACCGACCCAGTGGAATCCCCTGTATGTCGCGTCTGACTCTGGGCCGTCCTCGGTCATCGTGTCCATCACTGTCCCTGTGCGGTATTCCTGCAGGAATAGGATTTGTAAAGCCAAAAGTTGGAACCAGGTAACAACTCACTCCACGCACTGCACGCACGCACGCACAGCACCCACACACACACAACACACACACAACACACACACAACACACCACACACAACACACACACACACACCACACCCAACACACACACACACACACCACACACACACACACAACACTCTCTCAATGAGAGTTGTGTTTTCTAGACCAATCATAAGAATTGTAGAGCAGCCGCACTTTCCACAGTACTTTCTACAATATCTTCCAACTGCGAGTGTGGGTGTGTGGTGTGTATGTGCATTGTGATAAGTGTCTGTTTGAGAATAAGGTGTGTGAGTGTGCTTGTGGATACGTGTGTGAGCATGCTTGTGTTGTATTTGTATTTAAGTGTGTCACTGTGATATACATTTCAAATGTCTTTATTGTAATTTACATGGCGGAGTGGTTAATGATACTAACTATATATTCTGTGATATCTGATGTTGTGACCTACAAAGCATCCATTGTAAGACTTGTTTTCTCGACAACTGAAGGGTTATCGCTCTGCAAGTTCCGTTATCAAATGGACTGTGTGTTCATTTATGAACTACACATCACAAAATACTGAGTGTTTTTCAGCTAACGTGAGGATAGTTTACTCTATCGGGAGGTGAATTCTGAGCTACATCTGAGCTTACATATTAATTAGTTTCATGTTGACAGGCAAAATGTACCAAACAATGTTGTGTGGTTCAATAGACACAAATGCTCAAAACCAGTGATGCTACTTTAGCTGCTGCTAGTTTAATGGTTGCCCCATAATAGTTTGGTTCTAATTAGGGATCACATACGTAACGCTCGTGTAGAGTCTTCATTTCTGAACAGTTGCTGCGTTTTTACAGCTGAGATGCTCGTATGTGATATATCGCACAATGCTCTGCACCGAGGTGAATTTGAGTAACTAAGAAATAAGCATCGGTAAGGACTACCATTCTTGCACGTGTTGCGCTTTATCCATATTTGACTGAAATGCAGTAGACTTCTCACCAATTCCAGTTGCTTGTTTTGTTCTGTTGTTAACAGACAATGTTTAATAAAGCAATGTTTTTTCCTCCAGGCTGAGACCGACCCGAGTCAACACGCCGTACTCTTGAGGTCAAATTGGTCAGCGTCGGCTCGTCCCACAGCGGTTTTCCACCGGTGCGCTGAGTGTGTAACTACTCTGTTCCTCGGGTGGAAGCTAGCTCTGATGAGCTCCCCCTCTGTACTCTTACTGTTTAACCAACCCCCCGTAACTCTCACAGTCTGGCAGAAGAAGCTGTGTGAATTAAAGCAGCCGTGTAAATATTTCTGAAACAGAGAGATGTTTGTGGAATATGTACGATTATTGTAACCATTTACTTATTGCAAACCTGCTCTGAATGACCTGCTCATGTGATGGATCAGTCCAGCTCTGCTCTAGTTCACAAACGTGCCGCTTCAACAGTTTGCTTTCAGTCCAAAGCTGGTTGCACTTATTTGTACGTCCCTTTGGATAAAAGCCTTCAGCTAAATGATATGTAAGTTTATGTAAAAAGCTCTTTATGGCTGCAATTATTTATTATAAAGTCCATTTATTACATTGATATGGTGTTAAAGTTATCTGTAAGATAGACTGTTCTTGTCAAGTTATCAGATTAGCATAAGATATGTTGCTTTGAATTAGCTTTGACTATTAAATTGACTATTTTGGTTGAAGGCTTCATTACAGAAATGTTTAATTATAGCGGAATATAATAAATAGATATGAAACTATAGATGTGGTCAGTACGGGATACAAGATGCCACTCATTATACTGTTGCGTAATGTGTCAGACTTTTAACCTGTTAGTATTGTTTATATATATATATTTGGGTTTGCACAATTTTTTTTATTGAGTTTTATTTTTCATATTGTTTTTTATATTAGCACTCTTCCTGCTCTGTACTGCGTCTGCTGCACAAAACAATTTCTTTGGGATGAAAATAAAAGTTATCTTAAACCACATGTATCAAACTCAAGGCCCGGGGGCCAAATCAGGCCCTTGGTGGATTTAATTTCGGCCCGCAGGATAATTCTTAATTACTATTAGATCTGGCCCGCCGGTATATTGCACGCACACCTTCACTCAATCCTGAGGGTCTCCTCAGCTCAGAGCCTGAGCCCAAACATTGATGACCTTGCACCCAAGATGAGATGCCAAGTATCTGAACTAGCATCACAGAGCAGCACACTGAGTTTAATGGATGTTTCCTTCTGCACTTTGTTTCTCACGACAACAGGGCATGTTTGGTTTGTTCTTTGAGGGCAATAGTTGTTTTGAAGCTGTTGTTGGCCTGTGGAAAAATGTAATCATAAGTAATGACTCTGCAGATAGAGCCATAAGAAATGAATGCAACTGATTATTTAATGTTTAATGTTGTTTTTATAGGCAATCATTTAAGTTTGTTAGTTCCAGGTTTAATATGTGCAATAAGTTAATTTCAATAAGTTTTGCAATAAACATTTAACCAGTCCGGCCCTCGACTAGTACCCATTTTTAAATGTTGGCCCACGGTGTATTTGAGTTTGACACCCCTGGTCTACATGCTCCTCTCATTGGTTTTATTAGCGTATCAATTATAGACTTAAGTCTGCCCCCCCGTCCTCCCGCAGGTCTCTCCATCCCAGGTCCTCCGGTACATTCTTAACATGCCGGCCCCTCGCAGGTGTCTGCCTCCTGAGAGCTGCAGGAATGCTGGCAGTGTGCCCCCCCGCACCGCTCTGAATGGAGCTCTTATCTCTGCTGTCAGAGAGCGACTGTGTGGAGGCTCTGAGGGGCAGCTGCATGGCAGAGGTCACAGGGTTCAGGTGTTTTAAGAAATACTGAGATATCTGGACTGTAGGGGATGAGGAGAAGGCTGGTTATATATTTACCTGTCTGGATAAAGAAAAGCTTTTATATCTGCACCTTTTTAGACTTCTGAACTTGGATCTTCAGCTATAGGTCTATGTTCTTGCGCTGTACATATCGATCAATGAAATCTTGTTTTTTACTACAGTAGATATTGGAAAATTAAATAAATAGAATTAGTTGATTACTAGAATTACTGTTACCCTAGCCGACTGTCCTCCTTTAGCCATGTTGCGTTTTGTCTGTTGTTTAATATTCAAAACATACATCTTAATTCACCGATTGGTATTATTCGCCACCATCTTGACTGTAAGGGAGCTTGGAGGGACAATTGAATGACATTTAAAATTGTACTTGTATATATTATATGTTTTATAGTTATCAAAACACAATGGAACAATGGGTTACTTAAAAGTGATGCACACAGCTAGGACCAGAGCGCCTTTGATGTTGGGATATAAAAAAATATATAAAGTTGGCTAACTGTCGGCTAAGTTTTGTTTATGCTGGGCTTTTAGTATACGCTAAGCATGTCTTGTCAAGTTGGTGAAGATGTTTCTTCATTTGTTTTTGTGTTTTTTATTTGCTTTGTTTTTGAAACTGCAGCGGGTTTCCTCTAACAGAAATGTGTTGGGCTGTTGTAGCGCGTTGGCTCCTGTAGGCCACCGTACATAATACATCCATAGATTTCACTCTTCTTTGTTTCGAAGGGGGATGGAAACACACCTGTATTGTTTTCACTGACCCAATTGAAGATTAATGACAAATAACAGCAACTCAATTAATTCAGAATTATATTTAGTTAGTCAGTTCCACTAAAACTTCCCTTTTTTTTTCTCTCTTCCCACACGTATATTACATATTTGTATAAACCACACATTGAGATGTGTTAAGACTTTGCAGACACCCTTATTAAATCACACCGAGGATTTCATGTTCAGCAACAGAGGTGAACAATGAATCCATGTAAGCTAAAGGTGCTTTTCATTGAGCTGCCAGTCAGGCTGATCTGCAGAGTAATGTGAGATCAAGTTGGAGGGATTTCTAATGGATGGAACGGATTAGGAGCCTCCATGCACTGCGCTGCGCTGATGATAACTCCCATGTCATATTACATTAGGGATCAGCCTGAGGCGGCCCACTGGTGGTCTCTACTGTTTCAACGCTCAACAAGCCCCAACCAGAGCCACATGTTAGCCATCATGCTGCGAGCTACATCAAACAGATCCGAGCCCTCTGACCTTCTGATAGATCCAGCCAGGATTTAGATATGTTCAGCATGTAAAGACCTGTAATACAATTCAGTCATTGATGTTGACCAAAGAAACAACCGAGAACTGCAGCTTCTAAAACCTATTGTAAATGGATAAATAACATTTAATACTTCTTAAGTTCAACAGAGGATTTACACATTCATTCATGTATGGCTCATAGTCAATGTTTTTTTTCTCTGACGATTTTACAGTATCAATTCGACAAATGTTACATCTTGAAGCACAGACCCATGAGATTTAATGCAAACGATTAGTGTACATTATGCGCAGAAATGGAAATGTATTTTAAGTCACTGGATTACCGATAAAGTACATCTTATAATTAACTCCTGCAAATGATTTTCTTTTAGTTTATTTATTCACCCTTAAACTATTTGGAGAAGGATACTAATGTGGATTTCAGGACTCTCTAGAAAGGAGGAAATCAGTTAGTTTTAATCTCCAGTGGGAAATAATGATACTGACGGTCCGGCAGTTTAGTAAACCTGCAAAATGTGCTATTTCTTACAAAAAATGTTTTACAGTGAGCTTCATTGACCTCCATTGTGTTCCAAAAAAGGTGTTTAGTAATCCCTAAAGGCATATAATATATGAAAATCTGGACATATAAAACCCAAAAATAACACTGGAGATAAATGAAAACATATGTTTGTTTGCTTTTATTATCTGGTTGAAATGAGCCTCAACCATTGGCTGTGTAGAATTGTCCTGCTTAGGAAAGAAAATAGCATTCAATTGTCTTTTCCAGAAACACAATAGAAGTGGTTGCATGAATGGAGTCCCATATAGACATCAGTTTTCTCTAGTTCTTGTATTGACTGGTACCTGCCTCTCTGTAACTCTGGAGGCTGCAGCAGGAGAGGTTTGCCTTCTCTCTCTCAGGCACTTTAACACATTTTCATGTGAGGGTCCTTCATGACCCGAGGCCTGTTCCAGCTATCAGGTTCACCAAGTTATCTGGTGAATGAAACCCAGCGCAACCTCAAATCTGGAACATACATTTATCTGACCTGGATGTTTTTCTCAGCAAAGTTAACCAGATTAAGTAAACCCAGTTTACGTGAGTTTACGACTGTTTCTGGAAACGTTGGGATATCAGCCTTTGTGGACCATTTACATGCACAGATATAACATACTACAGGAAAGGAAAATGCAAAATCATGAATCAGTTGAGTTTAACAGCAAGCAGACTCACTGAGCATGATGTCTTCTACTCACAATAACACTTATAGATATCAGTTTAATTAACATCTCACCCAACACAATTGGAAACACAAAGCCAAGCCACTGATCCAGCCTTGACTGACAGCTGTCCATGTATTTGACCCGTCACACTGATTTCCTCCTCTTTCCGAAGACGTTGTTGATGAGTTTGGCCATGGAGCCGCTGGGGCGTCTCCTGCGCTCCTTAGCCTTGCTGCCCACGTTAGCATTTTGCACCATCTTGAAGAATATGAGCGCCACTTCCTGGTGGTGCTCAGCGGCTGACAGCTCGTAGAACTGGCAGCGACACTCGGCAGCGAGACACTGAGCTTCCTCACGCCGCACCTCTCTCATGTGGCACAGGTCCTGCTTGTTGCCCACCAGAAATATGAGCGAATCCACGTTCCTGTGGGTCAGAAAGCACAACAATAATTGACTTTCACCGGGGTGGTTTTGCATGGTGGCCATTATTATCGTGCGATGATCTTAGCCATACCTTTTGCCAGTTCCCAGGCGTAGCTCTCTGATGAGGTGTACTATGGCTTTGGCGGTGAGGAAGGAGGAGCGGTCGCTGATATCGTAGACCACGATGAAACCATGAGCCCATTGGATCTGCTCGTTTACAGTAGATCTTCCCTCATATGCCTGAAAAACAGATTGTTTAAAGACATCACATAAAAGATATACATTTTGTAGTTAAAAATGATATGTGCTAGTGTAAGGCTGCAGCGTGTCACCCTCTTTGCACGTAATTATAATATAGATTTAGCCTTGTTACTTTGGTATGGGTTGCTTTGTTTTGCATATTCCCTACTGTGTTTATCTCCATTGTGTTGTGTGGAGTCCATGTTTGTGATTCTGATTTTGCAAATGAACAGTAGCGATCAGGGGCGGACTGGCCATTGGGGAATACCGGGAGTTTCCCCGGTGGGCCGGTGCTGTGTGTGGGCCTAAATCCTACCGGCCCACATTTGTAAGTGTTTTGGCCACTCACTTTTTTTTTTTTGCTTACCTAAATCCTACCGGCCCACATTTGTAAGTGTTCCGGCCCGGCCCAGCCCAGCCCAGTGGGGTGTGGCCCAGTGGGCTGGGCTGGGCTGGGCCGGAACACTTAAAAATATGGGCCGGGGTTCAGGGGGAGTGGCTGTACCCTTAGGATAGAAAAGGGGGGAAGTGACGTCTGACTCAGAGGTCGAGCGGCTGTGGAGAAGAACGTGTTGCCCACATTCTGTTACTGAGTTTAGGCTAGTTAGCTAGCAGGTTTATTGTTTTGGGTGCAGTCACTTTTGCCTCCACTTGCTGTTCAAATAAATGTTGAAAGAAAAAGTAAATCTGTTTACAGTTCTGTTTTATATGGGTGTTGAAGAAGAAGAAGAAGAATTTGGAGGGATGAAACCCTCTTTAATGGTCACACATGCAGAGCACACAGCACACACAGTGAAATGTGTTCTCTGCTTTTAACCCATCCTAGTACCAGGAGTCTAGAGCAGTGGGCAGCTATTGTACAGCGCCCAGGGAGCAATGGGAGTGAGGGGGGAAGGGGGATGTCCGGTGCCTTTCTCAAGGGCACCACGGCAGGGCAGGAGGTGAACTGGGACCTCTCCAAGTAGAAGTCCACACTCCAAATGGAGTCTGGTCGGGGACTTGAACCGGCGACCCTACGGCTCACAATCCAAGTCCCTACTGACTGCCATAGATTTAGTCCCCAATTTTGCTCTCAAAGTGCACCAGATTGATGCATTTAACTTCAACATTTAAAAAAACACCTTCCCCCTAGAGGAGGTGAGGTCCACCACCTGCCCACACCCCCTGTTAAATTGTCTCACCCACATTGAGGATGCTTCCTACGCCCATGTTTTATTCCATGTGTCAAGTCAGGCAAATTGGGTCCAAATTGTTATTGCATCAATGATCTGTTAACATTAAAATCACTAAATATATGCTGTAACTATTTTTCTCTAGGCAACTCAAGGGCTCAGGTAATGTGATTACTATATGAATAATTGTCCAAAATAACATAAAATGCATAGGGTTTTTTGTTAAGTACCATACTTTCGTCGCCGGCCGGCCGAAACATGCCGCGCATTAAGTGGGCCTGTCTGTCAATTAATCCCCGGGCCACTTTCCCCCCCCAGTTCCGCCCCTGCATTGAGTCACTTCTGAGGTTTTCGTAAACCATACTTACAGCACAGGTTTTTCTCAGGGGATATTTGAACAGACTTTCCCCTATCAA